ACACCAGCGTGGTGGTGGTGATGGTGGTGGTGGTGGGAGGGTAGCGGCCAGTCCTTTGGTGTTAAGTTCTTCTTCCTCTATTTAATGACTTTGGTTCTCTCCCTTAACCTGTGAGGAAGGTTTTCAATCTTTTCATTTTAAGAAACCCCATCCTACTATTACATCTGAAGTATTTTTTCATTATTACCTGCTGCTGCTATTTCTTAAGACAGTGCCACTTCTTAGACAGCTGAGACTGAAACAAGGATAGAAATGTGCTCTAACACCATAGGACTTCTAAGGTTATTTCTCCCACTATCATCATCTGGGATGATGAGTGCATTCTTTTATGGATTAAGAGAATCACCAGGGTTCTGTCAATCAGTGGCCTTCCATTGACTACTTCACTGTAAAGGATGGATGGAAACTACAGACCTCCAGGCTTATTAGGGTAAGTTAAGAGCAAGGCTTTGAGAAGTATAAGCCTTCCTAGCAGGTAGATGCTGACACTTACTCATTTCAACCCTTAAGTTACTTAGCTTCTCTTAGTAGATAGACCTCTTAAAGGTTGCTTTACCCAGAAAAGAGAAGCAACCTCCCCTTTGAAATCTTCCAAGAGATACTCCTGGATCCTTTAACTCTTCCTGAAATAGCGGTGCTTTGTCCTAGAGGAATGGAGGCACGCTGAGACTGGAATTAATGCCCAGAGAACCTGAGAATGGATGCTAACATTTCTAAACTTCAATCCCAGGTGGGGAGAAAGTGGTCAGGTGGGAAGGTGGTGGCTGAGCAGAAACTGAAATGGGGGTGGAAGGAGGGGTGAGAAGGACTGAGAAAGGAAGGGAGAGGGTGGCACACCAGAAGGAGCATAGGCTCTGGAAATAAAGCAGGGCTCCTGTTCCATTGCCCAGGCACAAAATGTCAGACTTCACCTAAGATGCTTAGAACTTGTTCAACTCTCAGTCTGCTGATCTTAAAGAAAACAAACAATTATCAATCAATAATAGTGATTATTATCAGATCTTTCAAGATATCTGTGTTCAGAAACCCTGGAACAGTACAGATGAAAAGCATAGTATCACAGTATCTGAAAGTGGCTGCTAAATGAAATGGTCTCACTGGAATTAACAGGAGAGGTCAGTATTACTCTTGATGACAATATTAAAAGGACAAATGATTTTATTAAATAGTAGTAAACTCAGAAAATAAACACGTTACCAATATTGACACTGTGAATTACTAACTCCACTCTGAGGGTCCTAGCTGAGTTGTGGAACTGTTCAACATATGTTTGCATGTCTATACTCTGTTGTCCCCCAAATTTACTCTCGTACGGTAAAATGAAAATTAAAGGGAAGACAGACAGTGGTGAAAAAAATTTAAAGATATCAAAGTATAAAGATATGCAAAGTGATGCTAAAAATGAAAATTAAAACTAGACTAGGATATTTACATATTTTATTAATCTTTACAATCAGTCATTATAATCAAATACACAATTATATACAAGGATTATATACATTTTGCCCAGACTTTTACATCACAGTACATAGTTTCCCTTAGAAATATTGTATACATTTATCACCAAACAATAAAATCCAACAACAGTAGTGTTACAGCACCTGTTAGTACAGACATCTTTTTCATAAATTACATCATAAGAAAATATACGGCTGTAAATTGGGCTTTTAAAAATGTCTTTTATAAAATCTGAACATACAATATTTCATTCACAGAATGTTTTTTTTTCTATGTTCTGACTGAAGCCTTGTGCATAAAACGACCGGTTGGAATATTTATTAAATGCCCCCACCCCCGCCTCTACAATTATAAGCACTATTTGAATTACTGACGCTGAGCTTTCTTTATGATGAATTTGGCATGGGGTTTGGTGAGGGAACAAATGCTGGTTTTACTATTATAAGGGCTGTGAGATGGTAATTTAAATTAAAAAAATCTCAAGAGAGCATATTAGAGAACTTAAAATCACAGAGTGCACAATTTTTTATTTTACTCTCTAACACTGTGAAGAAAAAGGGAAAAGTATAATGTTTGTTTGTTAAAAAAAATTGTTCCAAAACAACTGTATTCTTGTTGGAAGCCTATTAAAAGTTAAAAAGAAAAAAGAAAACCTACCCAACAAAATATCCCATCCCAAACATATCTGGTAAATTACAATTCTTTCCCATCTAAAACTTTATGGGAAAAGCACTGCAAATTAGGGTGTATCATTTTAATGGACCTTCCTAAGCAGAAAAAACTATTTTTAGTAGGTAAACAAGTGAAGTTTTAAAACTTGAAAATACCTGAATTAAATACTTTCTCTAATATCTAACTTTTAACTTTCAGATAAAATCCTTACTTGATTCCGGGTTTGTAAACATTGTATAAATCCTTCTTAGTCAAACTTACGGCTGTGGTGATCACTTCAGCTCTATCTCTATGCAGTCAACATCTAACTGAGGTAGACCAGATGTTTCTAAAATTCAGGGTTACATAGAATCCCCTGAATCTTTAGGAAGTAAATAAAATGCTATAAAATATTTAAAAACAAAACATTTTTTAAAATGCCTAATGATGTTGAAATTTTTTAACGAAATAAAAAACTTTGTGGCAGTATGTCAATTAAGAATGGAGAGTCAATGACAATGTTGGAGTTTTGAAGCTGAACACTATACCTTCTTTTCCTAGCTAGGGAAAG